GGCGTGAGGAGGACAGATGGGTTTCTGGGTTTGGGCTATGTTTTTTGTTACCTTGGGGGCCTTCTAGGGTTAACTTTTCTTGCGTAATTCCTGGGTGGTAAGACGCAAGAACTTCCTTGCAAGGGATCAGACATTCTCAATAATTACGGTATCATAGTTGGGGCTACAACTAGTCAGGTAACAGCACGTTCCGACGCATGCATGAAAGCTTTGCCAGGTATTTGCTTTTTTGTCTGCACCGCACGGTGGGTGAGTCAGCTTTCGCACGCTGCTAGTTTTTCTCTTCCTCAGCTTCTTCAGCCTTCCTTTGCTCCATAACCTCCTCAATCATGCTTTCCTTCATGAAGAGCACTTCTTCCAGCGTGGAGCCACTCTTGAGCTCGTCCATCAGGACGTGGGCGATTTCCTTGTTCTGCTCGAGCGTGTAGCCCGGGACTTTGACCTGCCAAGCGTTTGAATTAATATTCGGGGAACAATAGGGATAACTTAGGAATTAGGGGTGCTATATCCTTTCTGCCACTTGCAATCTAGCTTTCAGCTCATCAATCTTAAGCTTGAGCAGTCCATCCCTTTGCCGAGGCCTGGAGAAGCTGCTTGTTGTTGGCCTTCACGCCGCAAGCCAAGGTAGTTGAGTAGGGCTTCAGCTTGTACACGACCTCCCCTTCAACCTCCTTTAACGCCTGCAAGTCATCCTTTGTCTCATCTGGGGGCCCTAGGGACGGTTCGCCTTTGTTGGGAGCTGTTGACCCTTCACTCTTCAACTTCTTGTCCGTCTCTTGAACACCTACAAGTGGGGCAGACGCACTGGGTCGTTTGAGTGGCATTGACTTACTCTTGGCTTTCGAAGCAGGCTTTTTCTGCACCTGCTCACGTTGCTCCGTTGAGGTTGGGGCGGATGGTGCTGGCGCCGGCTTGGGAGCTGGGCCCTCGGTGTCGGAGTCTGTGAGCTGTTCCACCCTGCTAATGATATTGAAGGCCATGGCTGACAGCTAACGCTAGCTTCAGAACTTGCGATTGCCTATCTGGCTGACTTTGGGCCTGCCTGCGAAATTGCGAGCTGGAGAGCTTGCCGTGCTCGCTGAGGCTCTTCTTTCATGGATGGCATCATGGCACAGTGGAGGAGACGCGGTTTTTTCTGCATTCAGACAGCAATCCTGGTCATGCTTTGAGCAATACTCAAAGTCTTCTTGCGGTAGGAGCGTCTGTGCACTAACGCTCGTGTAGGCCTTGTTCAAGTGCCCTCAAAACATTGTGGATTTATCATAGGTGCGGCTCGCTGATCAAAATTTCCTTTTCTGAAGCGCCCAAAATCGTACAAGCTGCTCCGCGGAAAATCAACACGTGCATCTATGGCCTCAAAACAATTTGTAGTACTTCTCAGGTTCAAGGGATGTGTGGCAAGCAAGGTAGCACTTGGGCTTCAGCGGCTTGATCATGGCTGGAGAGGTTTTTTGCAAGACACATTCCCAGACCACCTCCAAGTAGGGGCACCCCAAGATTTTCTCATAGCAGCCACCAAACGTTGCTCCCAGGAGCCCACGCTTCAGCTGCCCGGATGCGATCTGGCTGTCAGGCACGGCATGTGGGTGGTAGGCAATGTAGTTCTGCGTGTCCTTCTCAAGTGAGCATCGCATGAACGCCTCCTGCTCGCTCCCATCCTGAGTTTAAATTGCGGATGCTACATAATGATAAGGTTAATGCTTGTAGACTGTTTACATCCATGGGTGCCGGGTTTCAGGGAGCTTCTTCATGATTGGGGTGGTCATGTAGCCCTGCACACCCAAGTCCGGGATGTCTTGCTTGAAGCTGTCCCAACGGACCTCGCAAATCGTCATGAGTGTCTTTGCGGCTTCCTCTGTGTTGGCTGCCGAGCTCGTAAAGAGAACTTTGCTCATGTCATCCACAAGGTTCCAGGCTAGGCTGGTCTTCTCGTCCATGGGCTGCCCTGGGTTCCAAGTAAGTCTAGGAGTTGGGTCTAGTTTAGGTTTGAGGGCAAATGCTTTCAAGGGGTTGCACATATCCATCAATCTGGCCTGACTTTGCCATATCGCCCAGGTTGAAGCCGAACAGCTCGCAGGGTTCCAGATCCAGGCTGGAACCCTTGTGCAGGGTTTCATCTTTGCTTGCGTACAAGGCGAAGTCTTTCGTCACGCGCAGGGCTGGCAGCTGTCGTGTAGCTTTCACGGTAAACAACCTTGCTGGCATCATTGTTCATAGGGTTTAGAATTGAGGGTTTAGGGAGGGGGTTTGGGATAAACGGGCATCAGAATGTAAGATCCGGCTAAGTTCAGAAGAAGGCACACGTTGTCTAGTGGCCACTGTGCCGCTGGTGTCGCAGGCAATGTCTTTCTGGGGTAGAGGCGCGCATTGGGGCTGACCGTGGTGTCTGGGCCGCTTCTTGAACTTGTAGTGGAACTCGTGCCCTGTGTCGCGGGGAGGTTGCTGTCCAGCACGGGATAAACCGTCTTGGCCAAGAAGATGCGAAATTGACTGAT